GCGCCAGACACAGTAAACACCCAATCAACAGTTAGCCCGCCGATCCGGCAGCTGCAATGCGGCGAAAGCCAGCTGCAGTCTAGCGAGCACCAGCTGATTTGTGCCTCAACYGCAACCCCCGYTGCCRWTCAGCTCTTGCACTGTGCTCACACAAACGGCGAACTCCTCSARCACGGCCCAACTYGTGGTGYCKCGCATACTTCAGTACCTCGTGCAGCAAGACTAGCACGGTATCGGCCAATAACTTGGTCTGCGGTCCCTTGGCTACTTTTAGTGGTTTCGCATGATACAGCGGTTAGCAGACTGGTTTACAGGCAACACACAATCCTTTCCCCTCCTGCAGGCCTGCTCCACTCRTKAGGTACCASTAGGACAYACGACCTGACACAGATTGCTGCRCTCCGCCCACTCATCTCRACGGCWGGCTACCGTACATGATCRCAGTTAGCAATACAGRTGAGCTCAACCTTACTCTCCCACTGGCTCCACCCCGTGCCCAGTACGAGAAGGTGGACTGCAACCCCTATGAGGGTCGGTATCGTTCGAAAGGCTATCACCGTCGGACCACAGTCCCGTCGGCTTTGAGCGATACAACGGACAACTCGATCAGGCAGAATCGAGCGCAGGAGAGAACTGAGGAAGGCCCTTCCTTTCCTGGCCGAATGGCCGGGCCCTAAGCACATTCGATTGGTATGGTAGCCGTACTGCCGCCCGTAATCGCGGGGGGCGTTCTCTCCTGCTTGGTAAGTATCCGACCTCTTCCTTACTTTTTTGCCCCCTCTCCGACTCTTACCATCCCTCTCTCGTTCCCCCACGCCCGCGCTCGCTCGTTGCCTCCTGGTGATAACCTGATCAGCGCAGTCAACACCTTGCTTCGTGTAATGCACCCGGCCACTCCTCAGGTCAGGTTCAGACCAAACTCACACTGACGAAGTCTTACAAAAGGAGGCCAAATCAGCAGCTCGAGGCAGCAACTTCCGTAATTCACAACTACGACCAGCGCCGGGCTGCGAACTGCACCACGACGATCACTTCGAAAACGATCGTTCCAGTCGAGCCTAGCAACATAGCTCAGTTCGTTATGGCAGCGCGGTGATCAGCCCCAGAGCCACGAGGGGCAACAGTATCCAGCCTCCCTCCGGCCATAGCTCGTGCAACCCACTTCTGCTCCCCTTTCTCCGTCTCTGAATGCATCCCGTACCATTCCTCGTCCACATTCACTCACCCAGCGCCGGTTACCCCGCTACCCCCGACTCACTCCCTTGCTGTCTCGCCCCCGTGGTCATCACTATCCCTCCACCCGTCACCCCTACTCCCGTCACTCCGCTACCTCCGACTCTCAGCCCGTATGCACCTGGTCGGGGAACCCCGCCGGGTTCATCCCACTCCCCACTTCCTGTCTTCACCCGCCTCCTAATGCTCCGCGCCTTCTTCCCGCACTGCGCTCCTCCGTCCCTCGTCTTAGCGCCTGCTTTCGCTGCGCCCACTGCCCTACCTCATCCTCCCTACCATCTCCGAACACACCTCACCGCGGGACCCGTCCGGGTTCCTCCCCGATAGCCTTTAGCGCATAGCACCTCCTCCCCGATTACCGTTGTGCCGTGATCACCGACAATCCGCATACCGCGGTCTCTAGTCAGCGCGGCATCCAATCGTTTCGACAGCGAGACAAAACAAGCTAATGACATAATTTCTTCAACTTATGCCCGCCTCCCCTATGCAGGAGCCACGCTACTCCCCTCTGCATCGTTCCAGTCTTTTCAAACGTCCTGAAGGACTTCACACCGGCCGACACGCCCTCCTTCGTATGCACCCGGCGCAACCCACGTCCGGATTCGCTACGAATCTTCACGTCCTGATCTCATACTGGTGTCCCAACGAGTCCGACCGGGGCGATGCCCCGCGGCTGCGCCAAAAGTCGCCCGGTCTGCTTACCCCTCTCACCACCTGGCACCTGCCTCTAACCCGGTTCGCGTCCGGGTTCACTCCCTGACTTTGGCACGTATCTTTCCTACCCACAGCAGTCAGACGGAACTCCCCCGTATCGTCCGAAATCTTTTCTCCCTTTTTCCCGAGGGGCTTCGGCCAGGACCACACCCCACAGCCCCTCGCCGCCTGCTGGAGGCTTCAGCGCCGTCGGCCTTATGACGCCTGGGCGCGGATCCGGCCCTCTTTTGAGGCCGGATTCGCGCCGGTACCCCCACCATACCCTACAGGCCGCGACCGTGACAAGCACCCCGACCCGCTCCTCGCTTTAACGAGTACCCAAAGGGTCCTAGGCGCAGCCGCACCCCATCCGCGGTTCCCCGAATCTTAGACGACCGGCTCCACCACCACGCCCCTAAATCAAACAAGCCCGTGAATAATAGCAAAAAATAACAAATAGCAATAAAGTAAACTAACATATATAAAAGGAAAAATCCTAAACATGGAGCAAAAACCACCTGTACCCTACCGGCCCCGTAGGCCGGGTCCATAGCCGCACCTACCAACAAAACCAAGGGGGAACAGCCCCACCGGGCCCTCAACCCCCTCAGCTCTCCTTGACGCTCCGCCACTGCTGCGTCGACGCGCGCCGCCTCGATCCCTGTGTCTTCGTGGCAATATTCYGACGTCGTAACCTATAGGGCTAAGCCCAAACCWGAGATAGTTGGGCGCGGATTTCCATATAGAGTGATGCCGCGCCGTGCCTAGGCCTGGGAAAAACAACCTGGGCCCTCTCTTTCCTTCCTACAACCGGCGTGCCAACACTAGGCACCCGCGCCAACCTGGTTGGACCACGCTGTGGCCATCCCACGCGCCTATCGGCGTGCCAGCCCTACCGTAGGTCGCACGTGCCGCCCAGGGACCGGACTTTTACCCCTTAATCGAGCCCGTAACACGGTCCGGGCAAGTCGGCTAGACCGGCCGCCCACTCAATCAGAGAAATCACACGCGCGCCTTAATATTGCGCGCCCACACACCCACTAGCCTAACCAGGGCGGGTCCCGGATAAGGTCGTGCCTCGCACGGCTTATTTCAATCAAACCCATTTTCCTGTCATTTGCAAAAAACAGGGCGGATACCCTTGTAAGGGTATTCGAGCCGACAGCCTACCGGACTATATTAAGCGACGTCCCCGTCGCTACGCCAAATCAAAAGGCTACAAACTCACTCACACTCCAAATGCTGACGAGAATGGAACCAATCCGATTAGCCGACGCGCTTAGGGTTGAGGCCCCCAACAATTTTGTGCCAACATAACTATATGCCGCCAGGGTTTCAACCTGGGTTTCCAGTGTCCTGACATTAGGATGTCGGTGTATTATGCATCGATACTACAACATAAGTTCCAAAGGCCACCTCAAACTGTCCTCTTCCCTTCGTCCTAGACAAACGCCGACTTCTCGTTGAGTGTCCCTGTTAGACTCTCTCTCGTAAGCAGAGTCCCACGGGGACGCGGGCCTTAGACGAGACCTCAGAAGGCACTCTCGCCTCCCTCGCGAAAATCCTCACAATCAAGCATATATGATTCTCCTCTCAGCTCCTTCTGCAGTCTAGTACAGAAATGCTAGGTCTCGATCCTAGTCCACCATAGTCTGGTCAATCGAGCCAGATCTACGGCCTACCGCATTGTTATTTTAGCGGTAGTCCCTTCGTTGGTTATGCAACGATAGGTTTTCTCCTTATAAGCATTCAATCAGGGCGCTCGAACGACTCGACCGTGTCCCCCGCCATCCCGCCGGAGTAATTTCCCTGAGGCGTGCATAACCCCTTAAACTCTTACTCCGTGGGACGCGGGCCCGCAGCCAGGTTGTGCTGGCTTGCAGCCATCCAATAGGGGTTGCGCCCAAGAGGTGTTAACCTTTACCGTTTAGCTTGGTATTCCTTAATATGCCTTAGGATTAGCACAGGTGTCTAGGCGGTGCGTCGCAAAACAAGCTCACAGGGCCACTGCGGGACAACGCAGGGATCTGCCTTACTTTTAAGGGTATTTACCAGCCCCCTGTGAGACAACATAGAGGGCATGGCCCCTCCTCACAATCACAAACAATTTCACCGTTGGGCTCACACGAGGCCATGGCCTACTGACTTGATCAGAGACAGCAGACCACACATCCCACGACATCTTTATGCACTGACTTGCGACCTTCTCAGTTCCACCAATGATTCCAACTCGTAACCCTAGTTCCTCTCGTCAGATTTTATCATTCAAACATTGTTTACCATGTCCTTAAATCTATCACCCATTTTTCACATGAAGGGGGTCTCTCTCAGCAGGTCTCCCAGCCACCCCTCTCTTTATAGGATGGACTATCACGCGACCTGGGTTACACTGCTGTCAATAAACAACATCCCCACCTTCCATAATCCGAGGGGGTCTCAATTATAGAACAACTCAACTGAGGGGTCTTCTTATGGGCCGTCTCCCAAACTTAAACGCAAAACAACTCAAACTAAGGGGCCAACTTATGGATCCCCTTCACAGCTCAGCCATAAACATTCGGCATGGTAAGCATCCGAGCCTTATAGGCTCGCAAGACCCCTCAGGGTCCTCATACATCCGTCACAAAAACGACCGCACTGCCTCCTCTTATACCCGGCCGTTCCGCCCACCCAAGAGCAGGCCGCACGAGTATACCGAAGAGTAGACGACAATCACAATCACACAATACACATTYATGAGATGTATCCCACACATCTCTCACACAAAGCCCTCATTCATTGGGATAAAGCCAAACGTGTGAGAGTGGTCRTGATCGTCATAAGAATAAGTCCCACAGAGTCTGGAATCAAAGATATACTCAGAAGCAAAATATCTCCCTCAAGTCTCAATACGACACTCAACTCAAACCCTCAACACACAACTCGTAGGGTGTATTTGGGAACAAAATGCCTRCCCCGAAAACACTCAAATACTCACTCCACTGTCTCACTCCGCAGGATAAACTCACGTCCCAAGTGTCATGGACTCTCAGAACCTACTCAAAGATACAAGTAAGAGTATCCGAATCACACAACTGAAAATGCAAATCRCGTATGTCGTAGATATCATACAACTAAGTCTCATCCCCTAGACCGTATCACACATAAAGCTCAAGCCGATCACACACCGCCACCTATGTATATACAACTAAACGGGACTCCTCTGACTAACTCAGAGTATGTACACCCCTATCACGGCCTCTGCGTACAGAGGAGCTCTAATCCTACTGTCATATAAACGGACCAGTCCCTACTCATTCATAGCCTCCTGGTTCTGTCTATATAACTGTGCCCTACCCCCATCTGGAGCCCGCTCTACCATTCGCCCCTGCCTGTCGTACATTCTCCCACCACTCTCTGTTACTCTCCCAGCCGCCTTGTCCTTAAGGAACTTCTGGCATTCAAGAGCTCTATGTACACCGTCCTTGCAGAAGAAGCACTGATCGTCTGATCTCCCTCGACACCTCCTCTTCTTCTTCTGGGACCCAGGCGACGGCGGCGTCTCGCTAGTTTCCCTGCTCATCTCATGGCTCTGGGGCATACTCCATGACTCTGCAGGCCCCACCTCCATCATCTGGGTACTCGGCCCTGCTATCGCCTCACCTCCCTCGGGTCGGTACGCTGGAGTGTCCAATCTCAGTGGCCTACCCTCGCGGACTCCTCCCCTCGCAGTCGCCCCCTCGTCCCTATGCAGGTCGGAAGGCTGGGGAGTCRMGGCAGTCGCTGACTCGCTCATAACTTCCTGCTGYTGCTCTGAGATGTGCTCTCCTGAGTCAGCTCGAGTAGCCCAAGAGCCTAACTGCGTCCTCAGCTCCCCTATCTCTGGCACACGCTTTGGGGTCTTCTGTCTCTGAGGCTCTCCTGACGGCATGTCCAACTCTGTAGCCGCCAGGCCCGCCACTAACTCATCCAGTCGAGACGCCTCTCCCCTCATTGCCTCCGGCTCAGTGGATGCTGCTGCTCCCGTAAGGGCACCCTCCTGCATCTCCAAAAGGATCGTAGGGGACTCCTCTGTGGGGCCCCCTTCCTCCACTGGAGGTTGGGGTCCCTGCGCCGGCTCGCCCTCAGGGATTTCAATCGTCATAGGGGTGGCCTGTTGCGAGGCCAACTCCGTGGGCGTCCTAAAGCTGAACCTCCCCTCCTCGGCCTCCCGCCGTGCTGCCGCCTCTATTGGGTCAAGGAATACCTTCCCCATCCCTCCTTGCTGAGGTGGCTCTGTCGTTCCTTCCCGGCCAAAGAGCCCCTGTACCTGCTCCCCCTAGRTACCAWACCGACTTTGCTCCGTCCAGTCGACCACCTTAGTGGCCGAGAGCCTCTCCACCATCGCCGCCATGTCCTGGAGCCCCTTCTCCCATTCCGCTTCCTTAACTTCCATACGGGACCTCCATGCTTGATTCTCTGCCCTCTCTTCTGCCAATTGGGTGGACAACTGTCCCACCTCTAACCTCGAGGCCGCCAACTCATCGCTGAGCATGGAGTACCGTTGGAAGGACGAGACCGCCACCTCACCTATCCTCCTATCTGCACGTTCAATCTCCATCCTGGCGGCTGAAAATCCCAAGTCCTCTCTCTCTCATGCCTCGTCCAATCTTGCACTCCCCTGTCCTACCTCTCGCGACCTCAGGCGAGCCGCATCCCTCTCGCTCTCATAGCTGGCCCAAGCCTCACTAATCCTCGGCTCGCTCGTCGGAGGGTCAATTGGCGGCTTTGGCGCTTCTCCTGAGGTCTCCATCCTAAGCTTTTCCTTGTATAGCTCTTCGAGGCGTACCTGCACCCTCGCGCGCTTCTCTTCTTTCGTCTCCCCCGGTGGCTTCCCTGTCCTCCCCTCGTGACCCTCTCGCAGTGGATCTCTCTCACTTGTCCCCTCCTCTGCGGGTGGCGGCCCTGGCGGAGGCTCCCCGGATGTCGGCACCTCCACATCCATGCGTGCACCTGTAGACTCAGTTAGTTGCGGCGCCACAGTAGTAGGTGTCCTCGCCCTCTCGCCCCCCTCTGGCTCCGCCTGCGTCGGGGGTGGCATAGTAGCTTCCGGCGGGGGCCCCAACATCTCCTCGCTGTCCGGCTCAAGAATTCATTCAGGCCAATACTGCCGCGCCTGTTCTGGAATCAGGGTAGGAGGAGGGGTATCATCCCCAACAGTGATAACCCCCTCAGTCTGCGGCTCCTCGGGTTTGCGAGACCCCGCCTCAGGCCCCGGCTCAGGTGGCTCCTCCTCTGGCTCATCCTCTATTGGCTCATACCGTGCCGGTCCGCTCCGGTCCGCTCCCAGCTGTGACGCCCCCCACTGGGATGCATCGAGATGAGCCTCCAACCTGTCGAGCGGCGTCCTCAATGGCACCGCCTCTCCCCTCTGGTAACGTTGGCGACGGGCCCTGTAGATCACTGCCCGTGATTCGGCGAAATTCCACCTGCTCGAGTCCATAAGTAGGGGGTAGCTCCACCGCCTGAGCTGGCCCCGCGGCCTGAACTGGCTCCACCGCCTGGGCGGCCTCTGCTGGCCCCTCTCGCTGTGCTAAGGCCTTTCGGCCCCCTCTGGTCGTAGTGGTCCCTCTCGCCTCTGGGCCCCGTGGCCTCTTACTCCTCTGTCGTCTCTCCACCCTGGGCTCTCGTCTCTCGGGCTCCAATCGTCGAAATGCCTGTCTCAACTAGGTCTGGCAGTCCTCCTAGTCGCGTGCCCTGTCTCGGATCTGCCTCGCCAACGACCTCTCCGCCCTCCGCGTCCAGAGGGGCAGCATCTGCATCCACTCCTCCTGCCCAGTCCCCTGGCCGCGCATATACTGCTCATAGGCCGGGATGAACTCCTCCGCATCGCCTTCCTCCAATCGAATAGGCAATCCATCCGGTCCCATTGGCGAAGACCTCAGCATCTGCATCCTCGCCTCCACATCCTGCCAGGTCAAAGCCTCCTCCCGGATGCGCGTCATAGGCTCCTCAAAACGCCCAATTCCCCTTAGGTGCCGTATCCTCTCCAAGGCGGACCAGCCCTCCCGTGTCGCATGTGCCTGGTAGGAGTCCAGAAAAAACTCTATGTTACCGTCATCGAAGATAGGCATGGACTCCCTCCCAACCGGTCTGCGTGAGTCATCCCTTCCTGATGCTCCCTGAGGCCTCTGTCATGGCCGCGCGCCCCTCCCGCCCCTCTGCATGGCTGTCTTCGAAAAGTCAGACCTGCACAACAGGCGAGAAAAAGCAAGCAGGCACACAACAAGGTTAGCCATCGGTTCATCAAGTTTTTATGACAACACACATGCCTTTTCCTACTCTCTCCCCTGTCCTGACCATAACATGCGATATCTCAAGGACCAGTCTACTCTGAGGAGGGTAGAATTTTTTACCTATTCCCTGGCCACGAACTTCTTCAGTCTGGTCCCTAATACCCAATCCTGCCAGCATGTCTCATCCAGCTCCTCGATCTTATAGGCCCCAAATTCACCGCATCGCAATATTCTATAGGGGCCCAACCATCTCTTGTCAATCTTCCTCGACCATTGTTTTTCCAAAGAGGAGTCGTATAATAATACGACATCCCCTACTGCCAATGACTCCTTTCTTACTCGTGCCGTCTGGTCTCACCTCATCTCATCTTTCATGCGACTCCTTTCCACCTGACCAGCGGCCTCTCGCAATCTTTCTTCGGCCGCCCCCACTTGCCGCGCCCGAATATCGAGCAGTTCTTCGAAAGACAGGTTTACCTCCAAGTCCTGGCGCCTCCACGTCTTCATAAAGCTTTCTATGGGAAAGGTGGCATGCCTCCTGTACCATAGCGTGGCTGGCGCGTACTTGGTAGTCCTCTTTACAATAACAATCTCCACGAAGAAAGTTGCCCGTAGGAACTTCGGCCACTGACCAGGCTTGCCCTCTGTCCACTTAGCCAGGAGATTCGTGATGGTACTGTGCCCTCTCTCCACAGGAGCGTTCGCTTGAGGGTGTGMGGTCGTAGTATAGTTGGCCACTACGCCATACCCTGCAAGCAACGTCCTCACCTCATTGCAGGTAAACTCTGATCCGCGATCCATCACGAACTCCCTGACAAAAGGGTATCGCAGGTAATACTCCTCGATGCAGTTCGCCAAAACAGGGYCAGTCTTCGTCCGGATAGCTCGTCCKTCCACAAACCTAGTAAGGTTATCCYRTGCATCGAAGATGTAGTTACACCCATTCTCCCCTGTTGGCATGAATAACAGGTCCAGGTGTACGACCGCACCCACTTCCCTTTCTAACCTTGGGTGCAGGGGTTCTCCAGGTCTTTGCGCTGACCTCTCTTGGCAAGGTATACAGGACCGACAGTATTTGATAACCATCGTCAGCATCCCGTCCCAATGGTAGAGCTCGCTTATCTTCATGCATGTGGCACCTACTTCTCTGTGCCCCCCTGCTATACCATCGTGTAGGGCCGCTATGATATCAATTTGTCGGTTTCTCCCACATACGATCCTCTTGGGGTTCC